AGGCTGGTCCCACAGACAATCACAACGAAAATCAAGAAGCGGCGCTGCACATACCGCCCGAAATCGAGCCCCATACAGTCTCAGCCTACTCGAACGCTTAATGCCTGTACCCATTGCTTATACTCTCTGCCCTTTGACTTCACAGGCGCGATCGTCGTATGAGTGACCCTGTATGTCGAGGCGTAGAGGAGCTCTGGATCCCTCTGGCCGACGCGTTGGATGTCGCCCAGGAGTGAAAATCTCCCGCATGAGCAACTTACCCCAGCACCTCCGAGTCTACAACCCCGCGGCCGACGATGACCGTAACTTGAGTTTTTGGCCCCCGCCTCCGCGTCTCTGTGCGAAAAGTTTTCATGCGCTGTGGTGACACCTCTACGTTTGTATTACTCTTGTACCGCTGAGAATCCCTTCCGCAGGCCCCGCATGCACAAGTTTCAGTCGAAGCTGACGGACTAGGTCATAGTGGCTGTTCGAATACGGAGAGTATTACTGGTTGGACCTGGTAGTCTTTGGTTCCACTTGCTGATCAACGGTGTTGCAGACGGTAGGCACGAAAATAAACACGACTTTGTTGGGGAGGTTGTATGGTGGCATCGTGGTCAGTCGAGCAGAGATGCCACAAATCAATCCTTGAAACTTCGTGATCACAAGAAACCACGCATACATTCACCACTGAGAATACATACATACTTACAATACAATAAAGAAGACAAGATAGAGCTAATAAGAATGCTCAGACAAGTGAGCGGGTGGAAAAAATTGTCCACAGCAGACAGAGAGTAGTCTGAATCGGGTTTCGATATCCCGAGGGACTCGAGCTGCGAAGTGAACTGAAGGACAGCACGATCACAGCACACTCCAAGCATTACCGACTCTCCAACCATGGGGACCCTGGAAACGCTGACCGGCCTGTTCACTCACTTGAGAGACCTGTTGGACATGTGGAGCGGGACGACATGGTGTTATCGAACCGGAGCCTGATCGTTCGCCCGACGCCAGGGTTTACTGCAAATATTGCAGGACCTCGGTAGAGCTTACTAAGACAGCGGCGCTTTGATTACACGCAGTCGACAGCCAAATTCAAGCCCCTAGGCATCTTGATACGAGTGACAGACCGGGGCGTGACCAGGGTGGTCAACTTGGGGGAGCCGACAGCATACAACACACGTTGATGTTGAAGGCGTGCAAGCACGCATCCATGGAGCAGAGTGAAGTGGTAACGCTGAGAGGGAGAGTAGACCATGTTGCCTGATCCTCACGACGGATTTCAATGCACAACACTGTGTAGCCCTCCCTCGACCCAAGGTCGAGATCGTAGGGTGATAAACAGAGGCGATGAATTTCTGGTACGTCGCTGGGCGAATTACCGCCAGGCCCCGCTAGGACCAATCGAGGAGGACTAGAATGCTCAGAACTTGGCCCGTTCGCGAAAGAACGCTCCGGAGAACGCTGTGTGCGGCGAACATCGCAGCCTTGAGTCTGCTGTGGTGAAGAAGAGGGTGAGAAGGTGGGAAATCCGAGACTACAATAGAGCGGCACATGCCGCCGGTCATCACACACGACATACAGGCAGCAGCAAGTACCGCAGTCTTTGATCGGAGACCTTCCAGCCGCTCATAGCCCAAGAAACAAAAACAGTGCCACAGAACACGCAAACTGACTCCCTAATTCTTGGTTCATGTCTACAATATGCTACAGAGGCGACTTGACGGTGGAAAGTAACAAACCCGCAGCGTTATGGATGGACCATACATCGGGGGAACGACTTCTGCGAGCAGCTAAAGCCTTTCAGCATGGTTAATTTGTGGGCTATCTGGGTATGATCCTCCAGGCAAGGGCCACAGTTTACAGCTGGGTTCCCACAAGACAAAGTATGAGTTTCTCGATGCGCTGTGTCGGTTGTGGCATCTTTGGAGATCTAGCGTTACCAAACCCCGTCGTTCGTCACAACCATCCCATGTATAAAGCGAGTCTGCCTGAAGTCGATTTGGAGAGGTGCGCTTATTTTCTATCTATCCGTCCAGTTCCACGAAAATCAATTTTTTCATAGTGTTCACATTAGCAACAAGAAAATTTCTTTGTGCTCCTACCAGACAGGATTGTCAGTTTATGGAACACGAGTGATACACGGACTTCAGGAACGACAGACTTCAGTTCAAACATTACCGTTGTTGAGCTCGCAATACTTTGAGAACGAGTGGTCGCTCAAGGATCCTCTTCGCAAGTTCCCCATCACAGGTTCAAGATGCTCAAGTGGAGATACACTGGCGTCAAAGATGGTGATGTTCCTGTATAAATAATAAGTCACAAGTGAACCTTCTTCTACCTATCCGAGTCGTATATCTTGAGCTAACCTCAAACTCAGTCAACTTGTGGCCCTTCTTATTCAACGGAACCTATGACGTCAACAATGACTTGAACGTTATACATGTGTCGTCGTGATCTACCTACCGTACGCTCCCTCCCTAAACATCCCTGGTCCATCCAATATAACCCATTATCGCCGCCATTATCCTATACAACCGACTTCCTCATCATCTCTTCAGATTCAAGTTACTAGTATCTCGAGCCAGGATCTTACTGGCATAGTTAATCCGAGAGCTCTCGCTGTTGGACGATTCGACTCTATCATCGTTATAGGAATAGGGACTAGTTCGGAGATGGATATCACGCGTGAAGTTGGTGTTTTCACTGCTTTTGTGGTTCTATGACCTGAGCTCCTCTTCACTTTAGATGCTCGCAGTAATTACGAAATACCCCAGCAAGCTTTGATACACGATTCCCGGAATCTGGTTGTAGACCGCCAAAACTGGATGATAGAGCGTACCTGAAACTAAAGATTATCACCCTGTGTGGATCAGTACCGGAAGGTTGGGATGTTTGCTTCAATGTTCGTTTTCGCCGCCTAATTGTTGAATAATAAATATCGCCGCTCTGGAAATCTATGTTTATTATTCAACCATTATGTGGTGAATTAGTTGTTCATCTATTAGTGTCTGACATGACAAGAATATATGGAATGTTGGTCTACTCACTATCCAGAGTGTTCAGGATGATTGATCAGTATTCTCGTGGAGCATTGAATGCGATACTTACCAACCTGACGGGAAGAGGCCGAATAGTTATTTAAAGAAAGAATGCGCCCCTTACTCTCCAACGTTGTCCACCATGAACCACCACAACGCTTGTCATCAATTCGCTGCATCCGGAACATGCACATACGGTACTAGGTGCAAGTTTTCTCATATATCCTCGCATGGAGCTGCTGTGAGTGTCATTATTTCCCTCTGCCAACGATGGTTGAAAATTGAATAGGGCCAGTCGAATCCAACTCCAGTTTCTACAAGCCTTGAGAGCTACTTCGACCCTTATTCTCACAGAGGATTCGTCTATGATCCTACTGAGCCTGCCTGGGACGAGTTTTATAGGTTGTCTGACATGCTCGAGTGGGACAGGGACATGAAGAGTATACAGCGGAACGTTTTCAAAGACGCACTCGTTCAGGCATTCAATGCCATTTATGGCACGGACGAAAATGATATGGCCTCTTGGCAAAACTTATGTAGTGTCCTGCATGTTACACCCATGCCTGAGGGACTTACAGCATGTCGTGAGGTATTCATCTGATATATCGGTCTGCTGTGTTCATCAAGTCACTGACCAGAGGTGGTAGGCGGTCAGGGGAATATACGTCAACCTCGTCGATTTGGTCGACCTTCCCAACTCGAGCGACCCCATCATCATCTTTGACAACGAAGTAGCCTTGAGTGAATATACCTTGGGAAGGGGAAAGATTTTCCCTCGAGAGAGTGCCCTTGCCGGTGGGCTACTCAAGCATTTACTGAGAAACATCTTGAACCCACGTACACTGCAAGTAAAGCCCCGTCGCCGTGGCAAGAACTAGTTGCGTATATTACACGGTAACTAGTATAAAACATTATTGCTATAACATAGCACCTCTTCAAGTTGATATTACCGATGTAACCTTTTTGACACGAAGGCCTTCAGTTCCCAAGTTGGGTTTGAACGAATGCAAGTTGGAATTCCAATTTTGTGTCATACGGAGTTATCTAGTCGCTAGTTGTATCAAGAGGGGCGGGTGAGTGGCGGGAAGAGTCCGCGGAGGACAAATAGAATCTTAGAACAAGAATAACTGCATCACTATCAAACTTTCGACAATCACAGGTCCATAATAAAGCCTATGTTCAATCTAGTTCGACTTTTAGTTGGAAAAAAGGGAGTATTATTCCGGTGAAATTGAGGCAAAATTTGAGAGAGTAGTTCCCATTTTTTCATGAATTTTTTGCCTAGCCCAATGAGCCAACTTTAACCTACAATGTCATACTACCCGACGCGACATAGGAACTACAAGTTGAACTTTGGGAATTGACTGTCCGACCTCGTTCATTATTTCAGTTGGATTTTTTTTCTCGAAATGCTCGACACCATAGCTAAATGGGCCTGTAACCGATTTCAGCTGAATTATCACCATACTGAGTAGATTATTCGAATTCTGAATCACGTAACGATTGTGTTCTGCATTCGTTGACCATTTTCAAATCTTGGAGCAATTTAATTACTGTGGGTTGATATTCACTCAATTATATACAGTTTCTTCTTGCGCTGCGGTTTCTTCATGAGGTTCTCGAAAAGCTTCAATCTTCCTTTACACCGCTAGTGCAATGGAAGGTTTCTTAGACTCATCATTCAAGCCATGCGCTCGGAAATCGTATTGACGTAAAAATATAATAGCGGAATTATCTCGGAGATGTCAACCTTGAGCATTTGGTTTGATGCACATGGTAGCGCCACCGTTGCGCCACTAGAATTGGTCGTCGCACAGTTACTTTTTATATCATATTTATAAGTACGATATGGTGAGAGGAATTGATTATCTCTGGAATTATTTCAAATATTTGGCCTCAACAGAGACGGTGCGAGTGGCAACCATTCAAAAAAGATCAAGAATCAAAATTAAGCGTTTAGTCAGACACCTCTAGTGCCCTCTACAAGGCTCGAACTTGTGACCTCAAGACCTGCATTCTAACCAACTCAGCCAAGAAGGCGTCCTGATAATTGAGAACACACTGTATACGGACATACGGTATTAAGAGGAGGGAGATCGGTGGTGAAAGTTTCTTTTCACCAGAAAGAGAGGAACAGAAAATTCATATAGAATGACAGCATGGTCTACTCTAGATGTTCTACTTGTGAGACTGGCTGGATTATACACTCCTATAAATTACGTAATTTACAATATCTTATCGGCTCTTCCCGAATTGAGGGCTCGATTTTTTTCTGCTTCACCATGGCGCGGGCTAACAGAAGCTCTGGCCGACCCTCAGGCAAACCAAAGCCCTCAGGCAGCAAGGCCAATGCCGCAGGATACGCAAAGCGCCATTCTAAGAAGGCAAAAACTCTTGGTTCGGTTTCAGATGTCTATGAATATGCTCCGGAGGCGACGAGACGGTCGAAAGTGAGATTAGAGCTGGATCGCGAGGAGGCAGCTGAATATGGAGTGGGCATGGACGGGTACAACGAGTCTCGCGAAGAAATGCGAGCGCGGTTAATTGGGGAGAACGGCGACGAAGAGATCGACTCAGGAGACGACGAGGAGATTGAGAGTGATGACGCATTTGAGGAGAGCGATGAGGAGCGCTTTGCTGGTTTTTTCTCTGCTAAGGTATGTATTTATCCTACCTCAATTTGTTTTATTTCAATTTTCTTAACAGGGAAATAAAAACGCAGTGAAGAAGAGCAAGAGACCAGCAGTTCGGTTTGCTGACGTTGATTTAAACGAGGATGAGGATGAGGATATGGAAGAGCCGGCCGGAAAATCCGACGACTCAGAAGCAGAAGAAGAGGGCGAAGATGACGAATTTATCGACGTGTTGGACGTTCTGGATGGTCGAGGGGAAGTGGATAATGGAAGCGATCGCGGGGATCAACTTAACAAACCTGCCAAAGGCGCCATGCTGGAGGCTCGACATGATAATACTCTGGAAGATGACAGCGACATGGAGGACGAGGAGGATGAGAAAGAGGACGCCTCTGACGACGAAAACTCAAGTATGGCCGCCTCGGACGAAGAAGCGATTCCTGAAGCCCTCGACGGGCTCCAAAATTTCATATCCACCCTTGACCCCACCCCCAAAAAGCGGAAGGCCTCCGAAACTGAAAACGATGGCCCCCGCGCCGCAGACCGATTGCGGAAGCAACGCCGGTTGACTCTCAAGGAGCATACGGAAGCAGGTGCTGAAAACGAGTTCCGCGCTCAAGCGTCCAGTAGGTCATTCTACCAACATATCATTTTTGGATACTAAGATGTCGTTAGCCTCGTCAAAACTCAACCTGGACGATCTCTTGGCACCACTGGCGTCGCAGTCCTCGACGCTTCAATCTCTCAAACAATCTACGAAAGTGCTCGGGTCATCATCATCAAAAGTTAAGACGTTATCCGCGCCCCTCCCGATGAGGGCTCAGGAGCGGCTTGATCGTGAGGCTGCATATGAGCAAACCAAGGGCGAGGTCGACAAATGGTCCAGCACCATGAAGCGAATTCGCGAGGTAAGATCGTACCATGTCTCAATTTCTCTTCAACTATTCATCTACGCAGGCTGAACATCTGAGCTTCCCCCTACAAGCCCCTACGGCAGGACGGGTCTCCAACCTGGAACTAGCCGCAAAATTCAAGGTGAACTAAAGTGTTTCACTCACATTTCGTTGTTAACAAAGACTACAGCCAACAACAGCGCTGGAAAACTCGGTCGATGCGCTTTTGAAATCTGCGAAGTTGCGGGAGGAGGATATCCAGCACACCGAGGAGACAATGCTCAAGATGAACCAGCTTTCGGTGGAGGAAGTCGCCGCGCGGCGCAGTGAACTGCGGAAAATGCGCGAACTCATGTTCCGCGCGGAGATCAAGGCCCGGCGCATCGGCAAGATCAAGAGCAAGACCTACCGGAAAATCAAGCGGAAGGAGCGGGAGCGGCTTAGGGAGAAGTTGGAAGATAGGGAGGAGAGCGACAGCGAGGAGAGTAGGCTGAAGAGGGAGGTGGAGAGGGCAAAGGAGAGGGCGACGCTCCGCCATAAACACACTGGGAAGTGGGCGAAGCAGATGCGCGGCAGGGAGGGGACGGAGGGGAGGCAAGAGATCGAAGAGATGTTGGCGAGGGGCGAGAAACTCAGGCGGAAAATCAGTGGCGTGGGGAGCGACGAAGAGAGTGGTGAAGACGATGAGGATTCTGTTGACGGTGATGCTGAGGGTGGGGTCGAGCGTATAAAACGGGATGCGTTCGAGGAGTTGAAGAAGCTTGAGGAAGGCAATGCCGATGTGGAAGTGGAGAGTGGTGCGAAAAAGAGCAAGAGCATTTTCGAAATGAAGTTCATGAAGGATGCGATGGCGCGGCAGCAGCAGACGGCAGATAAAATGGCGGACGACTTCCTGAACGAGATGGGTGGTCGTTCAGATGTGGACGACAGTGATATGGACGAAGATAACCAAAATGTTAATCCTTCTAGTGGTGTCGTCGCTCAACGAACTGGGGGGCGTATTTCTTTACATCCTGGTGCAATGGTGCGTTTCCTCGTGCTGTAGGAGAATGAAGACTAAATAACTTCCAGGCTTCTAAAAGAACCACACGTCCGATTGGTTCACTTGCCTCAGATACCTCGAGCGTCACACTCAGATCCACCGACCTCATCTCTCCACCGGAGTCTCCTCTTGACTTCCAACGTCCAAACGTGCCTCTTCCGAGTATCGACGAGGCCAATCCCTGGCTTGTTCCCCATGAGTCTGAATCGACGTCCATCAAAGCGCCGAAGAAGAGCAATGAGATTGTGGTAGGCAAAGACAGCACTGCCATGACGAAGTCCAAGAACAAGCTTAAGAAAATCGCGCGGAAGCGGGGCGACGAGAAGGCAAAGACGATCGACGATGCGGTGGTGGAAATTTCTGCAGATAAGGTGTTGACGCTACCTTCCCCCAAGACCTCTCCGGTTACTTCGACCAACAAGCCAGCTGCGCCGGTGAAGAAAGCCTCGAGACCCCCTTCTACCTCTGTCGACCATCCAGGTGGGGGTGATGACGACGATGACGATGTCCATAGCGAAGTCGAGGAGCAGGAGAAGGCTTTAAGCAACAAGGGCAAGGCCGTGCGGCATGCGTTTGAACAGCGTGATCTTGTCGCCCTCGCCTTTGCAGGTGACAACGTCGTCCATGTAAGTTTTCCACTTCTCGCGTAAACCTTTCATAATCAAGCTGATAATTTCTACAGGAATTCGAAGAGGCTAAGAAGCGTGAAATCGCTGCAGACGCGCCACGCGAAGTTGACACTACGATTCCAGGCTGGGTAAATATTTTTCCTGACTCTTTCCATATAGTCTTCTAACGAACGATTGATACCATAGGGTTCATGGGGAGGCGCAGGTACACGCGCTGCACCACCCAAACCAAATCGCATCAAGAAAATCGCTGGTATCGACCCAACAACACGCGCGGACTACGGTAAAGGACACGTCATCATCTCCGAGAAGCGGGACAAGAAAGCAGCGAAGTATCTCGTCAAGGACCTGCCTTTCCCATATACAAGCAAGGCCCAGTTCGACAAGAGTATGGAGCGGCCGTTGGGGACGGAGTGGAATACTAGAGTGGCGTTCCAGAGAGGCACGCTGCCTCGTGTTGTCAAAAAGGTGCGTTGCTTGCGCATGTCTCCGATTGTGGCGCAGATGACTGATTCATCCTTTTTAGCCTGGGATGATCATCAATCCCCTGGAAAAGTTAAATCCATAACTTGTTTAGTTCATTATTCACAGCCTCATAGCCATTACTACCCACCACATTGCATACATGTCGATATCTCAATCAATCTTATATTTTCAATGCTTCGACCTCGAGGCGGGAGCGCAGGAAAAAACTCGGACATTCCGTGGTAATGCCTTCTTGGCTCAGTTGGTTAGAGCGCAGGTCTCATAGCAATATGATGTAGATTACTACGCAATCCTGAGGTCACAAGTTCGAGCCTTGTAGAGGGCAGTGTTGTTTTTTGTGCTTTGAAACGGCACTTCCAAGAGCCAGGTTCCAATAACTGACCTTCTAAACTGATGTCACTCGATCAGTGTGTATACTTCACATAAGATATATCTACTTTGGTTCGATGCCGTACCTCTTTTACTAGATATCTCAGACTCATGCAATTAATCCAATCTCAAATTGTTGGTTTTGTGTGACTGTACATAAGTGTTGTGGCATCGCACCCACACCATCGATAATGTCTACAAATGCTGTGGTCGAATACCATGTTTCACGCTATATCAGTCACAGCGCACGAAAAAAACGTGTTGCGGAGCCACACCGGGCCCTGTAGGCTGTAGGTCATATGTATAAAGCATGGCAACTTTTGTTTCTACCCCGCCGCCTTTCTCCAGATCTCCCTGAGCGCGACAACCACTACTGGTCGCCAGGCGTACAAGGCGTACAAAAGACGTGGATCGTCTGTAGTGCATGTGAGTCCATTGTAATGTCAGCCACCGGATGCAATGGCTCACCCTTTCGCAACCGCTATCCTCTTCACAAGTGACCAGCTGTCTTATCAGATTCTGCGATGGCCGCTGTATATCACTATCCTCAGCCTGCGTGGTCTCAGAGCCAATACTACCCTCAGTACGTTCCTGTCCACACGCTAAACCGAGGTCAAGACATGCGTGTTGCCGAACAACTGCGAGCAGACGAGGAACTGGCATTACGGACGCAGGCAGAAGAGGAGCGATTGCTAGCCATGGACTCTATGTGGTCGGCAGACCTTGACCGCCGTCGACGAGGCACTGGAGACTTTACCCGCCGGTCGTCTCCAGGGACGAGCTCGGCCTCTAGTTCATTTTCGACTACGAGCACACTATCCACTCTTAGCAGTCTATCAACTCGTAGTGGCAGTACAAGGTCATCCACGCCTTATTCCGATCGTAGCAGGCGCCCATCAGTGGGCCCGCCGGTGGAGCCGTTCATCCCGCCTGGCGCGTACCCAACACCCGCCCCTTCTCCTGAGAGAGCACCGAGGCTTTCTGCACCGATCCATCCTCCCAGGCCAGCTCCCACTCAAGGAGGAGCTGCTGCCCCGGCAACCCCTGCAGATGAGCTTCGTGACTACGCGACACTGTTTACCAGATCCCTAGCTTGCTCCAAATGTGGGGACGAGATGTTTGTCGTAAGTTTTTGTCCGCTATCTGCTTCCGCCTCCTATTTATCGTGAACGGTAGCAACCTATGGTCGATATCTCATTGCGAAGGCAGCTGCACCTGTTCTGCGCACGCTGCCCAGTTCCGACGCCTCACTGTCGCGGCTGCGGGAAGCCTGTCGCATGTAAGCGAAAGTGCGACGCCATTCGCGACGATTGCCAGCTCAAGACATGCTGCCGCAAAGGCCGAGCGATCGCGATCTTCGAAATTTTGGGCCTCTTCGACAAGAGCTACACGACAGCTGCGGAAAGTCTCTCGAAATCGAACATATGGCCCGTGCCCAAATCCGAACGGGACGACTTTCTGCAGCTTGCTACCTCGAATACCGACCCTCGGCTCACTCGGCCGTTCAACCAGACCCTAACAAAGACACTCTCAGCGCTGCAAGGATGGCTCCCGCTCGAACAGAGCGTGCACGCCTCCGTGCGGCTTCTCTTTTCGACCTCACTCCTTCTGGAAGTAGTTCGCGCATATCTCAAGGATACGACTGCGGCGTATGTCAACTGGGTTATCTACGGTGAGCTCTACACCGAAATCCTAGGCCTCCTGAAGCTGTTCGGGCGCCAAGAGTGTCACCATGCACTCGTGATGCAGAGCCTCCCCGTGATCCAGCGGTCGTCCGGACTGCAGTCGTGGCTTTGGGACGAGCAGAGCGTGTGGAGTTTCGATCCCAACCGCACGCGTAAGTCCCTGTTTGCAGTGGCAGTAGCAGATTCGAGGAACATACGCGAGGAGTTAAAGAAGCTAGGCGAGAAGCTGCGGGACCCGGAATCGAAAGAGTTCATCGCACAGTTCTCGATGGACCTAAACCATATTTTTTGTATGCAGGTCTTGAGCTGATGGTCTCTGGATCCGCCATGACCTTACGATTCTTTTTATTTCTTCGTTTTCATGCCGCCATTCATTTTCACATTCACCCCCATGTACAACACAGTTGCTACTTCGAGAGCCTTCGCGATCTGGAATCGCGCACCCTTGTCGCCTCGTTCTCGTTACTCGATGAGCATGTGCTACATCCTCTTGAACTGGCCGATCTTGTATCCTTCCTAATCCTGCCATATCGACATGCAGACACAGAGCTCCGCGATCTGGGACCGCGCAAATCGGTCGCGTGCAGTTCTCGATGAACTCGCGCTATCCCTGCTGGAGTTCCTGATCCCTATGTCCTTTATTATCTGTCTATTTGCCATATATTCATCCTCCTCGAGACCCACCGCAATCAGGTATCGCGTGCATTGGTCCTAGTGTCCTCGATGAATCTCCACTATATCCTCTTGAAGCTAGCGTCACCTCTCGTCTTCCACCTTCACGACTATCTCCTTCCAATTCTGCATTTGTATTTACCACATGCAACATTCACCATCATTATTCATTCATTCCGCATCCCATTTCAATTGTATACCAACCCCACACGCCATTCTTTCACGATCACACATTTCTCCTCTAGGTTTACCCTGTACTTTCACAACCCTGTTATTGCAAACTTAACTTCGTGGTGCCAGGTATTATAATGCATGTTGTACTTGTGGGCTCGCCACGAACCCCCTGATCTCGAAATTTAGAGATTGTAGTACCCAATTGCAGGAAGTTCACGCTGCACTTTTTTTGTACAAGCGCCCGCGATCGATGTGTAGTTCACGGAATATTAAGTATTTCAACCAGCCACGACAGGTCCTCCCTGTCCGGAATGGCTATAAACCCGGGGTACCCATGCCATAATACATCTTTTTGCTATGCACAGCACACTTGAACGTTGAACACCGGGGGCAGCGTGACTAGTACATGGATCGACGGTTACTTTTAGACAGTTGGCACATGGGCTTGCGCGATTTGCGCGCAGTGTCGGAGACAGCGCCGCCTGGTTCTGTGATCCCTAATACAGAGCTAGTTCGCAAGGCCATGCGCAAGGTACGGGACATTGTATTGCCAATAACATGTCAATGAGTGACCTGGCTGAACCAGGTAATGAGATCGAGGGTTGGGCCAGTGTTTTGTTTGAGTACACCCCCCGAATTTCCAATCCAGAGGAACCATAGTGGTTCACACAACCTGGGTCACGTATTATGAGCTTGATACGGTGGTAATCGAACTCAAGTGACTTCAGGACCAAGTTCATCGATCCTCGCCTAACAACAGAAGAAGACGGCGCTGAGCATCGACCGCAGATTATGTGGTGACTGGATGATTATCGTCCCTTGAACAAGTTGAAAGGGAGGCTTTGACGGGTGTTGCGAACTATTCATGGTCATGCGAGCCAGCAAGAGCCATGATGCTCAAACGAAGGAAGAAAAGTGCTGCTTCAAATTGATGTAAATATATACCGAAATGCCACCCGACGTTGACTCTATACGTTATATGTTTTACCGATCTACTTCGCTGGATTTGATATCTCAATGTTTCGAAAATGAAGGGAGAAAAGTAGTGAAACGTACCCAAACACCAGGTCCTGCGATGAGTAGATGATATGTGTGCGTGAGAAAGACACAGAGAGGCCAAGAGAAAGGACCCACCATAGTTCCGATAATAGCTACTGCATCTGCGAGCATGTGCTGCGGAAATAAAGTGATGATGTCAGTGGAGCGATGGGAGGAATAGAAGGAAACTGTCTGACATCTGTAACGCAAAAACAGAAACAAAACAGTTAGCTCGTCTCAGCTCAGGATAGTGGAATCGAGTGCTTGGCTTACGTCTCATCATGAAGTCCGAACCAGCGAGGTGGGCGAAGCCAGGGGCGCGGATGGAGCATCGGTAGGGGCGGTTGGTCCCATCGCTGAATATTTGCATTAATAACTAAATATGGCACACGGGCGGTTAAATGGACTCACGAGACAAGATACACGCCCATCTCGCCCTTGGGAGCTTCGATGGCAGTGTATGTCTCACCTGGTGGGACAGAGTAACCCTCACTGAAGAGCTGAGATAAGGGGTGAGATATGTGTTGGAGTGCTAGATAAGACAAGGGTTTGACTGGACCGACCTTGAAGTGATGGATAAGCGACTCCATGCTTTCCTTCATGGATGCACGGGGAGGTGGCACAAGCTTGTGATCGTCAACTTTGATCGCACCTGTTGGCATCTTATTGAGGCACTAGAATAAACGGAAAGTCAGAAGGTACGTGAAGGACTCGACACTTTACACAAAGCACCTGGCCAATAATGTTCAAACTCTCGCGCATTTCCTGGACACGGCACAGATAACGGTCGTAGCAGTCGCCCGCTTTGCCGACCGGGATATCAAAGTCGACTTCTGCGTACTTATCGTACGGGCTGGTCTTCCTCAAGTCCCACTTGATACCGCTTCCTCGGAGCATGACGCCGCTGAAGCTGTAGTCCAGCGCCTGCTTCGCCGTAACGACGCCGACGCCTATTGTACGCTCTTTCCATATCCTGTTGCCGCTGACAACCTCCTCGATCTCATCAATGCGACTCGAGAACTGCGTCGCCCACTTGAAGATATCCTCAAGTAATCCGTGTGGAAGGTCAAAGGCAACACCACCAGGACGGACATATGCGGCGTGCAGCCGCGCGCCGGAAACACGCTCATAGAACTCCATGAGTTTCTCGCGTTCTTCGAAACCCCACAAGAAGGGAGTCAAGCCACCAACATCCATGACATGGGTGAGGACGGCCATTAGATCTGTGTGTAATGGTCAATCTAGGTCGGTCATGATTAAGGATAGAAGCAACGAACGGTTGAGAATACGAGTGATTTCCCCGAACATGGTGCGAATCCAAGCGGCACGATCGGGTACTTGTATGTTAAGGAGCTTCTCGACGGCCAGTGAGTACGAAAGCTCATTT